TTTTATCCAATAGAGTTTCCAACATGTATCTACCATCCATTTCAAAGATCATGCTTTCTAGAGAAACAAAATGGTGAGGAACTCTGAGAAGGCTACGTAATAATCATCACACTCAATATGGCTATAAAACTAGGATTCTGCATGTTCCTTATTTACCAAACCCCTGAAATTTACTAAAACCATGTGAAGGTGTATAGTAACTGTAATTTCAACATAGACCTACAACAAATACTCCACCAGTGGATTAAGTTTATATGGATTACATCATTTAGATAGGCAAATTCCATATGCCTATAAGAACTGGCAGAAAAAGCAGCCTTTTTGTGAGCATTTGAAGTGTAAGACATGAAAATTATATTGTGAAACTATTTTGTTGTCATTTACTATTAACTTTTTCTTGAAAAATAAGATCCTGGTCTGTCTCAAACAGTGACACATTTTCACGGAACAAGCACTCTATGCAAAATTCACATCCTAGTTAGTTAAGTGGACAAGAATCATCCCCATAAATTATTAAATTCCCTCACATCTGGATACTTTATGTTAACCACAGTGAACATTAATATATTTTATTCAGTAATATATCTGTTATATATGAATGGTGATATGCTAAATAATTTACTGTTTATAGAGAACACTTTGATAAATTATTACTGTCACTATTGCAGAAATTAAACCATTCTTTAGAGCCCAAATTTAATACATTTTCAAGCATTTCTTGAACAGTAATTATTTTGTATCTATTGTGTTTAAGGTGCAGAAGGAGATTTTCTTTGGAAAAAAAAAAATATCACTTGTAAAATAATTACCAGTTGGTGGGTAGAGAAAAAATTTATTTTGACCAGAATAAAATTTATTCTGATCACAGGCACAAATTTTTTAACATACAAATCCCAGCTGTCAATACATGAAGTTTCCCTGAACCTTTTCACTTCTCTTTTGGTAAGAACTCTCATCCAGCATCTAGCGGGATTCCTACCGGCCCTGCGGTTTAATTTTCCTACACAGTGAATATTAATAGTAATTAGTTATTGTCCTCATCATCACTTCCCAACATGCTATTAGTTTTCCAGTGGGCATTGATTCTGTAATATGGAGTCTAACCTTCTAACCACTATGGCACAGAATAACCAGGGAATTATCCCCTAGAAAAACATTGACCTCTAAGTCAATGATCATTAAAAACAACCAATACATTGTGAAGCTTGACAAATCACAATGGGAATAGGGACCCAACAAATTGCAATCATGAAGTCACAATTATCCAGCAATTAGGTTTACAGCTGTATCCACCCTTTAAATAATCAAGTCTACAAATGTGCCCACACTTCTTTCTGCAGAACTTAATCTGAAAGGTTTCTAAAGCTTTCTTTTTTATGCAGGTTCCTGTAAGCAACTGCATCTGAGTGAAGTAATAATGACAAACCTTATGAAGCAGAAAGAACAGTAATTCATTTACTTAACATAAGCCTAATTTTTAAAAGGGGAGAATCATTGCCACGCTCTATTTCCAAATGGAATACGCTCTGAGTCATCATAAAAATTTGGCTGCCAGAAGAGTATCTAGTTTAGTAAAGAAGGTGAATGCCCAATGTTTTTGGAATGATTTCAGCAACAGGTAACAAACAGGAAGCCTGACTACAGTGGCTTAAAAAAAAATGAGAAGTATTTTTCTCCCATAATGAGAAATCCAGAGTTTAGCAGTTCTGGGCTGGTTCAGCAGATCAATGATGCCAAAGACTCTGAGATCACTTTACTTTGTCCTCATAATTACAAAAAAGCTGTTGTGGCTTCTACAATTTTATCGCCTTTCCAACAAGAAGAAAGAGGATGTAGCAAGGAGAATGGGTGGTACCAATATTTGAAAGTAAAAGTTTTATTAGGAAGCTCCCAGAAAACTTCTGTGTATGTTTCTTTGGCTATAATTTTGCCCCAGAGCCAGTCCTTGCAGAAAGGTGGCTGGAGAGAAAAGAGATGCAGAGAGAAAATGAAAAGCAGCTTTTGACATTCAGAAACTGCAGCTATGTAGCTAGGCCTTGATGTGAAAAGCTAGCTGTGTTCATAAATAGGCCTTGATGATATCCTGTTGAACATAAACAAGCTTCAAAATCACCAACATCAGTGACCATGATGAACTGAACAAAAAAAGACCACTCTATAACCTTGTCTAAGCACATAAACGAGGTCACTGTGCAAACCAGAAAAATACCAAGCACCTTCATAGCCTGGCTAATATGAGTAGCTGCTGCTTCTTTCCCAGTTTAATCTTTAGCCTCACTTTATTTTTCCCATCTTATGGATAAGATTTTTAAAATAAGCAATCATATATATACCCCCAATTCCTGATAGCATCCAATTCAGAGCAAAGCCACTTTCTTAAGCCCCCCCCGAAAATCACCTGAGACCAGATCCTGTAATAAGCCTTCCAAACACCCTCTGACTGAAATGTCCCACGTTTCCCATGGTGTGTGGTCTCCTTTCTTGCATCTATTAATAAGTAAGACTTGCTTGATTACAGGTCTGTCCCTGGTGGGCTTTAGCTGGATAACATTAACAACAGATGGGATCAACCAAACAACAGTATTTGTCACACCTTGGTTTCATTCTAGTCTATTTATAATTAAAATGATGTGCCTTAACATGGCATGCTTCAAAATCCTTAGCTAGTAAAGCAGCCATGGTATACTGAACAGAGCATATGATGAACAATCGGGATGAAGACTCTAGTCCACTCTGCCCAATTAACTAGTTAAGTGACCCTGGGTGAGTCATTTAAAAGGAGAGGAACCGACCTCACAATGATCCAACGAACCAACTAACACTCATATGTCTGAGAAATGGCGTAAAACTAAAAGCTCCAAGAAATTAAGTACATTTTCTTTCTATTTACATTTTTAAGTGACAGAACCAGGATTTGAACCTGGGTGGAGTATAAAAGCTTTCCATTGTACCACATTTCCTCACCGGGCCCCAGCTTCCTCTATGAACTGACTAGGTTGGTGAACCAGAACTGTAATGGCCCTTTTCATTCACCAAAGATTCTGCATGACAATTAATAATATTTATATTTATTCTTATTTAGTCCCACCAAGTCTGTAGATGAAAGGTGCAAGACTAATTCGAGGTAATATGCATTTATGGAGTTCTGATTTTTAGCAAGCCCTTTTCTACACAGCATAAATCATAGATTTAACCTATCATTTGAACCTCCAAGTCAAATCGATTTTCAGTTCCTTGTAATTTAAAATATGACTAATTTACTTAAGGAATTGTGTGAGATGCTATACCAAGGACTGAAGAAGTAAAGCCTTAACTTAAGTAGGGAAAGCAAGTGACATATTCTTTATCTATATTCAATGCTAAATTTTAATACTTTTTGCACACATTTGGGATCCTTTTCAAATAATAGACAAATACATACAAGAAATGAATTTATCCAATCACACAAATAATAAGGACAAATATAAAATTGTATCCACTCTACTAACAATTTAGTAAATATTTTTTAAAGAAATAAGCAGTGTAGAGGATTTGTGGAAATACGCACTGAAGGATCAGAGAAAGAAATGTTATCCTTTAACTTTCTTTTGGAAGGCAGTATAGAACATGTATGAAACGCTAGGATTTTTGCATATCATATTCGACCCACAGATTCATCCTATACAAAATCATAGCTGTGTAGAGAGTGAGCCACAAAATTGTTTGTAGAAATATTCATAGTGGATGAAAATTAGTAAAAAGCTAAATTTTTACCAGAGTAAAATTTATTTACTACTAATAATTAAAAAAAAAAAGTAGAAATTTATTTTTACCAGAGTAAAATTTATTTACTACTAATAATTATTTATTATTCTAAGAAGAATGGTTTAATAAACCATGGTTTATTTATACAACGAAAATCTCTACAAGTATTAAAAAAATGAAATGAAAAGGCATTAAGCAACATAGTCAAATGTTCAAAATACATTACTAGGTTAAAAAATGTAAATTAAAAATATGTGATTGTGTTGTTGTTTTATACATGTGTGTATATGGGAGTAAATGAATTTTTAAGAAGAGAAATACACTGAGTAGTTATCTTTGACTGGTGGGACCATAAGTGGTTTTATTTTCTTCTTTTTATTTATCTACATTTTCCAAATTCTCTACCTTTATAATAATAAAAAATATACTAAGTGAAATTTTAAAACAAATGCTAATATATGTCAGTCAATAAAAAATATACTGTTCAGTATTTCAATACTAAATTCACTTGTCCTTTAAAATAAACAAACGACCCTGGATAAAAGACAAACATTCTCTATGAAGTAAACCTAGCTCACAGATGCTATACCAAGGGCCATCTTTGTTCTGTCAACCATGAATGTCCTTTTCTTTAGGGGTTTGTTTTTCAAATAATTGTTTTAATTATCTTCTCTATAATTTGGAAATCTAGCTTAAAAGGAATAGTGTATGTATAAACAAATTCTAAGAAACAAAATGATCAAAATAAGTATAGTTTATGTTATAAAAATTTTTCTTGTGGTATTACCCACATGAACTTCTGAGTGTTGTAAAGGCAGTGTGTTTACTTAACATGTTGTATATGGGAGTATACAACATGTTAAGTATATGGGAGTATACAACATGTTAAGTATATGGGAGTATACAACATGTTAAGTAGTGTAGTGTTATTTTTTGTAAGCAAATGCAATGTTGCCAATCAACAATTGTGCAAATGATCTTTAGAAAAAGATGGTGTCACAGGAGGAGGTTGTTTTTGGGTCTTTTGTTTTCTTTAGGCATTTTTCTCTTAAACATAGGAAGGATTTTCAAAAATCACCATCAGAAAAAACCTATGCCTTATGTAACTGCCACATTAATGATAGAAATTTAAACGCCACTGAAAAGAGAAGTTGAATAATTTACCAGCACAGAAAACATTACAATAGCTACCTTGTATTGGTTGCCTACTGTTACTTATGTTCTTTAATGTTTATTACTTTATTTAAACCCCACAGGCATCCTGCAAAGCAAATATGATTACCACCATTTTGCAGATGAAGAAAATGAAGCTCAGGAAGTTTAAATAATTTGAAATCTTTGGAAGTTTAAATAACTTGAATAAAATAGCCATAAAGATAAGCAGGATTTGAACACAGGTCTCAGACTCCAGTCCTATGTTCTATTCATTTTGTATACTATGGGACTGGATTCTAGATGTGTCTGTTTTTCTCATTTGTTCCGTATTGAGCACCTTAGAAAATGTGTCTTCTCACTTCTATAATATGAACTAATGTGAAGTTATTCAAATGCATGATTCTGAAAACCTTGAATGATTTAGGAAACAATGCACAATATAGTTTTGTATGTGACCAATGAGTATCACCATGTCACTGGTATCTTCTTCTTCAACAACTTGAGATGTAGTGTTACTCTGCAGAAAAATTTCAAAGTAGAATTTCAAGTTTTCCAGTATTTTTTTTTAATTCTTTGCCCCAGTATATCCAATTACTCCATAGTGTTTCTTCTGTACAAAGGATCAACACTGTTTGATTTCATATTGCTAATAGATCCAAAACTAAATGTCCCCTCTTAGCCTGGAGGTCTACATGACTGCTCTCAATTCTGGTTGTTCCAGATCCTCCTTCTGTGTCGCTGTTTTGTGTTCAATGCTGAAGACTTGGTGTCCATGCCTGACATAACCTGAAGGTGCCTCTTGAATGCATCACATTTGGCTTTTCCTTATGTCCTTACTCACTAGCATGGCTACCACTAGAGCCAGGGCAACCCACAGAGATGGACTTGAAGTGAGAAATCCACTCTGACCTTTGCCAGAACATCCAGCTCAGATTTTGGCCTAGGTAAGGAGTTCTTAACTGTGTCAAATCTTGCTGGAACTCCCAAAGTTGCATCTCTTTGCATTCACAGATACGTCCACTTCTATTAGGCAAACACGTTACCAAAATAATACAGTTTAGTCAGACTCCAAGTAAAGCCATTTGTAGAACCAGAAGGAAATTTTCCTTGATGCACTTATCCATTCACTGGATGCACTTAGTCACATCCTCTTAATGTATTCTTTATCATATCAGCATTTTTTTGCACTTTATTGACATCTTGACTAGGTCAACATTACCCAATCTATCCTGTAGGTTTTAATAACTTTTAAGCTAAAAAGAAAAAAATATCTTAAAGTCGGGGTTTCTTTCTTAAAAGTCTTTCTTGTATAGTATCTCCTATGCAACATCCATGTAAACAGGCTGCCCACTTTCCTCTGCCAAAAATCTAAGCTCCATGTACCAAAGATATGCCAGGAGGTGTCATTTGGTTGCCTCTGTCTTGGATCCCTGAGCCCAGGGAACTTGCATAATAATATCCTGTTCCAAAGTTATATTGTCTTAGTCAGTTTGATCTGCTTTTTAAACAAAAATACATTACACTGGGTAGGAACCCACAAAACCCAGTTCCATGCCCATAAACATAAGTTACTCTATAGCTTTCCTTGAGGGAAGAAATAACAATCTTAATAAGTACTGCTATAATAAATTATATTATGTAGATATTAACTTATATATAATCTATTTTAAGAATAAAATAGAATAAACTACTGATTTAAAGGCGAGTATCCAATCTTTTGGCTTCCCTGAGCTGTATTGGAAGAATAAGAATTACCGTGGGCCACACACAAAATACACTAGCATTAGCGATAACTGATGAGCTAAAAAAAAAAAAAAATCTCATAATGTTTTAAGAAAATTTACGAATTTGTGTTGGGGAACATTCAAAGCTGTCCTGGGTCATGCATGTGGTCTGTGGGCTGAAGGTTGGATAAGCTTAGTTTAAAAAAGGAAGTACATTAATACTTTCAGGCTAAAAATATATCATACAGAAAATTTTATTTGTGCTAGAAGAGATCAGAAGTTACAAGAGCATATGGAAAAAATGATAGGCAGGAACTGCTCAAAACAAAGACTGCATGAGGACCTACTGACCCTGATACTGTTACACATTTTCTCATCTTCTACAGGAAAGATTTACGCAGAAAGACTGTAAATATTATATTTCTGTTTGATTAAAAAACTGGTCCTGCTTAAAGTATTTCTGAAGATTTCCTCCTGAAAAAAATCAATAATAACAACAACAATAATAACAACAACCTCTCTCTTCTTTTCTTTGGTCAATTTGGAGATACATTTCATTTATATTTGTGCCAAAGAAAGGTTCTTCTTCCTTTGTCTTTTGTTTTAATTAGGGGAAAAATGTTCTTATGAACTTTACATTATATCATCTTATCTCGGTTGGCCAGAATCCCAGTGAAACTTGTATAGGTTTTAAATTTCTTTACTTTTACTCCCTGTAGAGAAGCCGTATTTTGCTACATTCAAAAAAATTTATTGCCAAAGATTGATGACTCCTTACATGGGAAATTTAAATGCACACAGTGTCTGCACTTTTAGACTGTTTCAAATAGTATATTTAATTTTACATTGACTTCTCTAAAATCATCTAATGATTTATTTTAACCTCTTTATGCAGAAGACATTCTGATAACAAAATGTGTAAATTATTCAAGAGAAGGAAAACATGTTACTATCATTAAAAATATCTTATTTCTAAACAAAGCATGATTAAAATTTAGTCCTTACTTCTTTACTTATATTTTAATTTTTTTTAAAAAAAACCTTTTGTTTATAAACTAACACACTGTAGGAAAGTAGGGAAAAATAGCCTAACCCTTATTATTACAACGAATATTTTTTAAGACCTGTAAACTGCTAGTCATTCCTGAATCCCAGTGGCGGGGAGTGGGGGTGGTGGTAGAGAAACTTAAAAACAACAAAACAAACACATCAGCCACACTAAAATAAGAATTGCTTGAAGGACCTTCATTTCTTTTTTAAATTTAAGCTTTTCTACTCCACCTATTCCCATTGTGGTGATAGAAATAATAAAGCTTTAAAGTCAAAAATTAATATATTACAACAGATTTGAGAGCAAAACACTGGAACTAGTCGGACAACTTTCTGTAATCGAAACCCACAACAAAGAGAAATTAAACTTCCTATAATTTTATAAATTACAGAAGGAATACCTGTAATTACCCTCATAAATGATGACCAAAATATTTGCCCGTAAGGAATTGGAATACATTTGAAGGGAGGCTGCCTTGTTTGCCATGCTGAAAAAAGAAGGCATGTTGGCACACAGGAAAATAGTAGTGCATCTTGGATAGCACCGAGAAAAAGCATTTTAAAGAAACCTGATAAACAGGACATGGATGTTTTCTATGAAGAGATTCAACAAGCCCAACTAAACAAGAAGCTACCTGTGACAAGCAAAACTACCCCTACACACACACACACACACACACACACCCTCTACCTTTTCAACCAGCTCCTCAAGCGCACTAGCTAGCAGATAATCACCTAGAGCAAACCAGGTGTGACGTGTATTTTCGTGTAGATCAAAATCGAACCATCCCACCCGCCTCCCACCCCCAGTAGAAGACAGTTCTACAGGCTCTAGAAACCACAGAATGCCAGCATCTAGACAACTGGCAGAGTTTCCAAATGTTAATCCCATCATAAAAGATGAACATCGTTTCAGTCCAGCTAAATTAGACATGTAAGATGATGGAAATGGCATGCATTACTCCTGTAACCAGTCATCCAAAATAAATGGGCTCATTTATATAGAGCTTTGCTATTTAAGAGATATTTGAAGGCAGGCAAGCTTAAAGTATAAGTGAGAACATGTCATGTCAAGCAACTTAGAGAATCTCATAACTAATGTTATTTTTACCCTGAGTGTACAGTTCACATTCATTGTTCCAGGTAGAAGCTTCATCAGCATCCCCTAGCACATTATGAATTCCTAATCCAAGACTCTCCCATCTATAAGCAATGTGTTTCTCCTTTTGCTGTAGATGATATATGGACTCCAGAGAGCAAAGTTTCTCTGTAACACATCATTCCTAAAAGGCTCTTCCCACCTCCATCCCCAGTAGTAAGTAGATTCTTTGCAGAGTTTTCATTTACCTACTTGAATACAAAGGTGATTTAAAAATCTTTATGTTTATTATACAATCGTAATGGATCAACACCCTTCATAAAGAATCCAGTGCTCTTCAAAACAGAAGTAACTTACTTGGTGCAGCTACAAATATCTTAGTATCTTTTTAAGGGAAAGTATCATCAAATAGAACTATTCTCAGAGTAGGCCCATTAAACCAGTCACAAGATAAAGGACACAGGTAAATACTGTTCTTAATTGCCCGGACTACATTCTGTAACTCAACTGATTACTTTCTAAAACTATATAGGTCCTTAAAATAGCGTATCGTTTTATTTTATCACCTAGTACTTAAAAGCAGTGTTAGAAAGTGCATTGAGTAAGAAGTGAGCAATTCAAATTCTACAGCTATGAGCCTCTCCAACTTTATTTTTTTCTTCTGTCAAATATTGTATGATTCTAGAAGCTAAAACAGTTCCTACAAATGCCTACCCAGAAAGGAGAAGCAAGCAAAGGAAAGAAGGGAGGGAGGAAGGAAGCATGGAGGGAGGGAGAAAGACACCATCTACTGGATCCTGCTATGTAAATACTTGAAGGTTCTCACTGTGGTTTTAGTCTGTCTTTGAATCTCTAACAACGCAACAGCCACCATTAGTCACAAAAACACATCTGTGTTTAAAAAACTATCCACAAAAAAATTGAAATGAGTGATCTATATATCACAGAAACAAAAGGAGATATATAATCCTTTTTCTATACCATTATATATAATAGAGAAAAGCCCCAACATAAGAAATTAGGTGTGTGTATATATATACATATACATATACATATATATATATCCTTTTTCTATACTATTATATATAATAGAGAAAAGCCTCAACATAAGAAATTAGTTTATTATACACAAAACTTAGATATCCAGGCCAGGAATGGTAGCTCATGTCTAAAATCCCAGTACTTTAGGAGGCCAAGGCTGGATGATCACTTGAGGCCAGGAGTTCAAGACAATCCTGGGTAACACAGTAAGATCTTATCTCTACAAAAAAATACAAAAATTACCTGGGCATGCTGGCACGCACCTGTCGTCCTAGTTACTCAGGAAGCTTAGGCAGGAAAACCACTTGAGCATAGGAGTTTGA